CGGTATTCATCTTCTGCATTTCTAATTGCTGTTTTTGTATGAGTTCTGATAGTGCATTAATCTTATTATTTTGTTCTTGAATGATTTTCCTGAGTTCTTCCAGAGAACTGCCTGTGCTCTTCTTGTTTCTGTTTAGGGTTTCCTTAGGCTCTTGTAGAGCTCTATAAACATATCTTCTAAATTCCTTCTCAGATAATTCTATTCCCTCCTCTTCTTCCATTTATAATGAGACAGACCTTTGTGGTTTTGCATCTAATGCCTTGTCCTGTTTTTTGTTTGTTTGTTTGATTTGAGGTTGCCTGTTGTTTCATAGATATTTTGAGGTTATCTTTAACTGTTGGTTATGTATTGATTTGTTTTGTCTTAGTTCCATGGTTTAATATTTTGTAAAGGTGAAGCTGGTGTATTTTATTTTATTTTAGTTATTAATTCAGGTATGCTGAGTTGCTCTGCAGTTTTTCTTTGTAATGGTGGAATCACTGTGTGGAATGTAGATATGGCTTTCTGTTTGTTGTAAAGAGGTTTTAGAGTTCAAACCGGAAGGTTTTATGTTGTCTGAATGTGGTTTCTTCTATTAGATGAATGAAGTTATTGGCGGAGAAGGTCGGAGCAGAAGAAGGAAAGTTTGTTGCTGTAAGGATGGTTTCTAGGGCTTTGAGCAGGCTGCTGTTGATGACATCATACTGTTATTTACAAGCCTGCAGTTCAATTTCAGCAAAGACTACAGTCATTAGGGGTTCACCACTTTTTGCCAGGCTCAGACACAAGCAAAAACCCCACTTCCAAGACCCCTCTGTTCCAAAAATGCAACCAAAGACAACTTACTGGCTCTTTGATACAGTGTAGGGGTTTCTCTCTCTGGCCTTGCCTGCCTGTGGCACCAGCCCAACTGGCCCAGACCACATCTGCCTTGGGTGTTCCTCTGTGAGTCTGCCCACCCATGGTGCCAAAGATCTGCTCAGTTTCAGTGGTGGTGGGGTCAGGAAAGTGCCTTCTAGTAATCTGAGGTCCCAAAATTACTGATAAAGTCAAGCACAGGCCTCTCAGTGGCACTAAGCTGACAAAAGCCTACTGGGTGACCCACTGCACAGGCAACTCCCTGGGCCCACCATCCTGCAGCACCAGTGGACCCTATGCTCAGGTTTCAACGTGTTGGACATGCCCCTTTGCACCTAGCCAACCCAAGTTACTGATAAAATCAGATGCTGAAGGTAAATCCTTGGGGTGATCGCTTGTATGCTGGTGTGGTCTCTGGTATGCTGGTGTGGTGTGTTTTCTTCCTTAACCCACAGAGGTCTTGGATGGCTGTTCTTGCCTGCTGGTTGCTCTCCCAGAGAAGTGTCCAATGGCTTTTCTTGGCTGCCTGTCAGGGCTTTGCAGGATAGATCTTCTGATCTTGTTATTTATTTATTTTTTCCTTGTACCTTTCTCCTTTCTAATTCTATTCCTCTGAGTTTGGTGTACTCTGACTCAGTGAACTGTTCGGAGCACCAGAATCCCTAATTCAAACTACTGTACCTAGTTTTTCAGGCACTAAGATGCTAGAGGGGAGTAATGTGGTGATTACTGGCAACACTTCATTTTCAATTATGAATAAATCTTGATTGTGTATTTGGACAGTTTCAGATTGCAGAAGTCAGTAAAAATCTTCAATTTTGTCTTTGGCTTTAGTGGTTGGTGTATAAATTTGAGTAATAGTAGTATTAACTGGTCTTCCTTGTAGGCATATGGATATTATTTTATCACTGACAGCATTGTATTTCAGGATAGTTCTTGAAATATTCTTTTTTCATGATGAATAAAACACCATGTCTCCTCAATTTGTCATACCCACTGTAGTGCACCATATGATTGTCTGATTCAAAATGATCAATACCAGTCCATTTCAGTTCACTAGTGCTTAGTGTATCAATCTTTATGTGTTCCATTTCATTTTGTTGTTGTTTTGTTGTTGCTTCTAGGTGCCATTGAGTCAGCTCTGACTCATAGTAAGCCTATATACAACAGAAGGAAACACTGCCAAATCCTGCCCCAGCTTCACAATCCTTGCTATACCTGAGCCCATGATTGCATCACTGTATCAGTTCATTTTGTTGAGGACCTCCCCCTTTTTTGCTGACCCTCCACTTTACTAAGCATCAGATCCTTCTCTAAAGAATAGTCCCTTCTGACAACCTGACCAAACTAGGTCAGAAGAAGTCTGGGTCTTCTTGCTTCCCAGGAGAATTCAGGCTACATTTTTTTCCAGGACAAATTTGTTTGTTCTTCTGGCAGTCCATGGTACTTTCAATATTTTTCACCAACACCACAACTCAAAAGCATCAACTCTCCTTCAGTCTTCCTTATTTGTTGTTCAGCTTTCACATGCATATGTTAGGAGCTCTGGTAGCATAGTGGCTAAGACACTTGTCTGCTTATGAGGTGATTGAAAACACCATGGCTTGGGTTAGACACATCTTAGTTTTCAAAGAGAAATCTTTGCTCTTCAGCACTTTAAAGAGGTCTTTTGCAGCAGATTTGACCAGTGCAATATATCATCTGATTTCTTGACTGCTGCTTCCATTTTGACAACTTCCAATTTTTCTATGTTTATACTTCATACATTCTATGATCTGATTATTAATGGATGTTTAGTGCTGTCTCTTCTCATTTTGAGTTGTGCCACATCAGCAAATGAAAGGCCTAAAAGCTTTATTCCCTCCATATCATTAAAGTTGACTCTACTTTGAGGAGGTGCTTCTTCCCCAGTCATATTTTGAGTGCTTCCAACATGAGGGGCTCATCTTCTGGTACTATATCAGACAATGTTTCACCGCTATTCTTAAGGTTTATTGATCATGGGTTTTTTTAGAAGTAGAATGCCATGTCCTTCCAAGTCTGTCTTAGTCTAGAAGCTCTGATCAAACTTGTCCATCTTGGGTGATCCTGTTGATATTCAAAATACTGGTGGCATAGCAACACACAAGCCACCATGATATGACAAACTGACAGATGAGTATTGGTTATTTTATAAGACAAGAGAAAGGGCCATGTATTTACATACAAGTGAGAAAGAAGCACTAGAAGAAAATGAATGCAGTGCAGGGAGACAGGACATTTTTGGAGCAAGTCCTCAAGTAGATGTTAGGGGAATGGATCCTCTGTGCATGTGGAGGAACCAGCCTTCTTCAGGAGCAAAGATGGTTCATTCATGATAACAAAAACAGATTCACATGTATAGGAACAGTCCGCTGGGGCAGAGGAGATTATCCTTCAATATCAGATATTGTCAGTTTTCTCAAGAAAAGAAGAAGCTTAGTGTGATCATAGGAGAGGTTTTGAAAGAAGAGAGAAGGTATGAAGTTTTCAGCTAGGTAACTGAGTGATTATGTACATTGGCAATGGCAGTTCTGATTTCAAGACATCATTAAGAGCTCTTTTGAGGTTAATAATGTACATGTAAGAGAACATGTATGGCTGTGTAAAACACCATTATTCAGTTTGTGCTTTATGTACTGCCAGCTGCATAACTGTGTATATGACCAGTTGTCACAGTTGTGCATAAGATCAGCTACATAATTGTCTACGAGATCAATTGGCACAGTTGTGTACAGGACCATTTACATAGTCAGCTGCATGGATACAGCAAGGAGATTGGGAGGCAGAACATTGAGATGACTAGGAGGATCACCATTCTTGATAGTGAATAATTTAATTTACAGCTATAGGAATGAAACAGTTTATTATTATTATTATTATTTTATAAAAATCAACACTAGATTTTGTATATTTTATTTTATTATATTAGTTAAGAGTATGGTTATAAGCAACAGAAATCCAATTGAAACTTGCTTAATCAAGTATGTGAGATTGCATGTGCCTAAATCAGCCCACTTTTGATGAGGGAGCTGATGGGCTCTATGGTGCACCAGATTCTGTCATTGGCTTTTCCTCCTATTGCTCTGCTCATCTTGACTAGACTGTGTTCTCAGAAAGGCTCTTCCCTCAGTATGACTATGGTCTTCTCCAGATTTGCCTCTCACAGTTTACCAATCTTTGGTATAAAGGAAGAGTCTCTTCCTCACATATCCTCACTAGGATATGTTTAGATGTCAGATGGAGCTAAACTGGCTGAACCTGTATCCTATCCAATGCTGATCACTATGGATTGGAGGGTTGGATGATGTGATTGGCTTCACCAAGAAAATGTACCCTTCCTTTAACCAATCAGTGTATATATTGGGAGTGGGGTATCTAATAATTTGAAGCCAGTCTTGGTCCATTTTCCTCACCCAGACCACTCTGGACATTTTTTGTTTGTGTATGTCCCCCTCATAGATCATGTACACAGTCAAGAGAGTGATTTCATGTCAAGCAGACACCTTTTCATGAAAAATGTCAAATAATGAAATTCAATCCAGTTATTTTCATAAGTACAGGCATTATTCCCCAGCCCCCACTCCAAAAGGGTTTCCTGGTATGTGTCCAAATCCTGGAGCATTACTGAGGAAGGTGGTTTTCATCTGAAATGTCCTTGTGCTGCCCCTAAGGACACATTCTCTAAAAGACTCTACAACCTTCAACCACAGGAATTTGCAAATCTTAGTTAGCATTTTCTCTTTTCTATCATATAGAACAGCCACAAGCAGAGAATTTACTTTCTGATTGCTAATGAGATATCCCCCCACCCCTGATATTTGCAAATCAATCACTTTGTCTTGCTTGTGAAGTAATCAAATGGAGAGATTGTGAGATGGTCTAAATATATATAAGAATACAAAAGAATAGAAGTCTGCCTTGGGTGCTCTGGTAGCATAGTGCCTAAGGCACTTGACTGCTAACCAGAAGGTTGGAAGTTCAAATCCACCAGCCACTCCTCAGAAGGAAGATGGGGCAATCTACTTCCATAGTGATACTGCCTCGGAAACCCAAGGAGGGGTCGCTATGATTCGGGTCTGACTCCACAGCATATAACAACAACACAACAACCAAAACAAACTGGGATTTGGTTTTGATTTCAGGCAATGGGACCCTGATCGGAGCATCTGCTAATGTAGTTTGTGCAGGAATTGCTGAGCAGCATGGATACGGATTCTCCTTCATGGAATTTTTCAGGTACTTTTAAACTCATTTTAAATTTCTGTTTAACTATATAGTCCCCAAGCTTACATTAATTAAACCAACAACAATGACACATGCTATCAAACACTAGGATAAACATGTTTCTAGCAATCATTTTAGTGTGGGTATGGCTAGCTCACACAAAACACATGATAGATTTATTGCTGAGATTATTTTCATAATACAGAGGAGAATTCAGACTTTCTTGGGCCTGAATGGTTCACACAGAGTCAAGGAGTCAGGAAATAGTTGTGGGTTTGTTGGGCATATGACTTTCATGTGGCTGCTCTTGTGGAAATTTCCATAGGAATTTGTGCCTAGAATGTACAAGACAAGGTGCATGTGAGAGATGTCAGCTGCAGAATGCACAGCATAAACCCCACACTCACAAGGACTCACCATGCTGGAGGTGTAGCCACAATTATCACTCTGAGGAGGCATTACCTGTGTGGACACAGGGTAGGGAGGATGGCTGTCCACCTGCCCCAGTGACACAGCTGCTGGCACATGGCAGCATGCTGCAAGGAAGCTAGGGCTACTGAGGTCCCACTCCCCTCCATGCCCACTTTCACGTGACACAACTGCATATTTGTTTTCCCTCCTCCTCAAGCCCATTGCTGCACATATCCACTGTGTAGGCATCCATGTGAACCATGCTCAGCTTCCCCCTTATCATTTGAATCAGGATTATGACCCTTCTCTAAATGTAAGGCTGTCTTGTTCTTGTTAGGTGTGTAGTCAAGTTTCGACTCATAGTGACCCCATGTGACATAATAGAACTGTCTTGTAGGATTTTCTAGGCTGTAGTCTTTATGAGAGCAGATCACTAGCTCCCCTGGAGCTGCTGGGTAGGTTCAAATTGTCAACCCTTTTAGTTAGAAGCTGTAAAAATGGCACGACAGAGACTTCTGACCTCTAGGTTCTCAAGGGGGGAGGAAGATCAAGATAACAGCCCAAGGCTGATTCCTGTGATGCAGAGCAGAGACATGTATCCATCCTCCAAACTTTTTATCAGTTCTGACAGGTACTGTCCCTCCCATGGCACACTCCACTTCTTTGCTGGGATTATATTCAAAAACTTCTGATTTAACTTACACCACAGTATTTCCTACATCAATAAGCATGCCAGAAAAGCAGGTGAGGTGGGCAGAATGGACATTTATGGTCCCATAAAATGGTGCTGCCAACATGAACTTACAATATTTATTTCATGTTGACCAAAGCTTTTATTGAAGTTCATTGGATATAAACTCACAGAAATATATGCACAGTAGTGCACAGAACCAGCCCAATTTACAATTGGAATGTAAAAGTATGGCACTGTATCTGTGGCTGCATGGCAAAGTGAGGGACAGTCTGTGGGGCAGCTCTTGTCCTGAGACTCAAGCCTGTGTAGAAAATGCCTACTATAGCTGTGTGTGGAAACAGCATGTCAGTAGTCACAATCAGGTAAGGACCACTAACACAGGTCTCTGAAGATACTGGAACGTTTACTGTACTGGCCATTTCCATTGTCCAGGAGCAACTAATCATACATGGCAGTTTTGCTGAGGAGTTAATGTGAATTCACTCATGGAAGATTTGTGCATGGAAAGGAGGCCTTTGGTTGCACTGCTCAGCAGGACTCTGGGCAGGCTACTGACCCTACTGCTAAAGGATAAGATCCCAGCTGTCTTGGTTGTATATAAAAGACCTAATCCAATCACTTAAAGAATTTTCCTAATAAGAACAGCATTCATCACAGCAAACAGAGCAGCAGCATTACACTGTCAGCCTCTCTCCTTTGCTCATAGGCCATGATACTTGGGCCTCAGGAACACAGCCAAGGGTAATAACAGTAACAAGGACCTCTGTCCAGTTGAGGGGGTGGGTGTCCAGGCCACTTGGACTATGTATGATGTCTAAAGTTCATTCAGGGGGTGGTATGTTTATGCACTGAACTTTAAAAGTAGACTAGGCATTTCTTTTATGATGTGTAGAACATGTGTGCAGTTACACTGGTGAAGGGCTAGGGTGGTGATCAAGAAATTGAAACCTCAGAAAGGTATGGGATAGACTTTTTTGATTGACACAGTGATGCAACTATGGGCTCAGATATAGCAAGGATTGTGAAGCTGGGGCAAGATTTGGCAGTGTTTCCTTCTGTTGTGTATAGGGTCACTATAAGTTGGAGCTAACTCAACAGCATCTAACAGCAACAACACAAAAACACAATGAAATGGAACACATAAAGGTTGATATTCTAGGCATTAGTAAGCTGAAATGGACTGGTATTGGCCACTTTGAATCAGACAATCATATGTTCCACTATACTGTGAATGACAAATTGAAGAGAAATGGTGTTTTATTCATCATCAAAAAAGAATATTTCAAAAACTATCCTGAAGTACAATGCTGTCAGTGATAGGATAATATCCATATGGCTACAAAGAAGACCAGTTAATACTACTATTACTCAAATTTATACACCAACTACTAAAGCAAAAGACAAAATTGAAGATTTTTAGTGACTTCTGCATGCAGTCTGAAATTGGCCAAATAAACAATCAAGATTTATTCATAATTACTGGTGGTGGAATGAGAAAGTTGGAAACAAAAGGGAAGCATTGGTAATTGGAAAACACAGCCTTGGTGATAGAAATGACCTTGGAGATTGCACAATAGAATTGTGCAAGGCCAACTACTTATTCATTGCAAATATCTTTTTTCAACAACATGTACTTGCCTATACACGTAGACCATGCCAGATGGAGTACACAGGAATCACATTGATTACATCTGTGGAAAGAGACAATGGAGAAGCTCAATATCATTAATCAGAAAACAGCGAGGGACCAACAGTGGAGCAAACCATCAAATGCAAATTTCAGTTGAAGTTGAAGAAAACTAAAGTAAGTCCATGAGAGCCAAAATATGACTTTGAGTATATCCCACCTGAATTTAGAGACTATCTGAAGAATAGACCTTATGCATTGAACACCAATGACCAAAGATCAGACAAGTTGTGGGATGACATCATGAATATCATACACAAAGAAAGCAAAAGGTCATTGAAAAGACAGGAAAGAAAAGAAAATCAAAACGGATGAGAATCTGAGAAGAGACTCTGAAACTTGCTCTTGGATGGAAAGTAGTGAAAACAAACGGAAGAAATAAGATAAAAGAGCTGAAAATAAGATTTCAAATAGTGGCTCAAGAAGACAAAATAATGTATTATAATGAAACATGCAAAAGCACGGAGTTAGAAAACCAAAAGAGAAGAACATATTCAGCATTTTGCAAGGTGAAAGACTTGAAGAAAAATTTCAATCTTCAAGTTGCAATATTGAACTATACTAGTCAAAGTAATAAACAATGCAAGAAGCATCAAAAGAAGATGGAAGGAACACACATAGTTACTGTACCTAAAATAATTGGTCAATGTTCAACCATTTCAAGAGGTAGCATGTGGTCAAGAACCAATGGTACTGAGGGAAAAACTCCAAGCTGCACTGAAGAAAATTGTGGCAAACAAGACTCTGAGAATTGACAGAATATCTACTGAGATGTTTCCACAAACAGATGCAATGCTGGAAGCACTCATTCATTCACACCAAGAAATTTGGAAGGCAGATACCTGGCCAAATAATGGGAAGAGATCCATATTTTGCCCATTCCAAAAAGTGGCACTCCAACAAAATTTGGAAATTATAAAATAATATCATTAATATCACATGCAAGTAAAGTTTCACTGAAAATAATTAAAAAACAAAAATCCTCAACAACTGGACCAGAAGCAACACCATGATAAACGGAGAAAAGATTGAATTTATCAAGGACTTCATTTTCCTTGGATCTACAATCAACACCCATGGAAGCACCAGTCAAGAAATCAAATGATGTGTTTGTTCTGGGCAAATCTGCTTCAAAAGACCTCTTTAAAGTGTTAAAGTGTGAAGATGAAGGTGCACCTGACTTTGAAAGTCTAAGTGCACTGCACTTTGAAGACTACGGTGTGCCTGACCAAGCCATGGTATTTTCAATCACTTATGTGCATGTGAAAGCTGGAAAATGAATAAGGAAGACAGAAGAATTGATGTCTTTTGCATTTTGGTGCTGTCAAAGAATATTGAATATAGTATGGACCGCCAGAAGGACAAAAAGGTCTGTCTAGGAAGAAGTTTGGCCAAAATACTTCTTAGGAGCAAGAATGACAAGATTTCGTTTCTTGTCCTTTAGTCATGTTATGAAGCAGGACAAGTCCCTGGAGAAAGATACCATTCTTGGTAATTTAGAGGGTCACTGAAGGAATATTCTTAATAAGATGGATTTACAGAGTGGCTGCAAAGATGGGCTCAAGCATAGCAATGATTGTGAAGATTGAGCAGGATCCAGCAGTGTTTCATTCTGTTACACATGAGTCAAAACTGACAATGGCACCTATCAAGAAAAACAACAATGAAAATAAATTCTCTATGATAACACAACCTGCTCCAGGTACATCTGAAGAATATAAGACAATGAGACATTATATCTTCCCCTTATTCTCATATGACTCATTAAAATCTCTATATATTAAAATATAACCAAAGACTCTTAATTAATAAACTAAGAAAAGCAAACCAAAAACCCAGAAAGAATGAATAATAAAACAAAGGTGATTACATGTTAACCATTGTAAATCTGATAAAAGAGGTTACATAGGAATTCTTTGTACTATTGCAAATGGTTAGTAAGTTTGAAAATATTTCAAAATGAGAAGACAAAACATACTATAACTTAGCCAAAGCACCTCCTCTGCCAAACTCAAGACTAGATTTACAACTGCATACTCAGAACACTTCTTGGGTGTCTAGCAGATACTCTAACATTCTACACAGTTCTCCTCACTTCAGTAAATGGAAACCCTATTCTCTCACATGTTTTTTTTTTTTTTAATTAGTGATATCTTTGACTCCTTACTTATTTTTCAAAACCTTTATTCTATCCTTTTACAAATTTTGTAGGATCTACCT